GTTTGGGTTTTTTTTCATTCCAATGTCGAAGCGTTCGAATTCATCGGAGTAACTCGGGCATGGACGATTCCAGGCTTTGTGGACCGGACACAGAGCATTAACGCTTGTCAGGCAAAACTTATTTTTTTCTTGTGTCACTAAAAAAAAAGCTCCACAATGTGCCTTTACGTTGAATTCTGAACCTTTCTGAGAAATGAAGGCGTATAGTATTGAGCGGACCCAAAAAAAAAAAACCCGGCCAATAGTCTGCACCCTAGCGGCGGTGGCAAAATAGACCATCGAAGGATGCCAGTGGCACTTCCTACTCACGACAATACATTCACAAGAGTAGAATAACCCTCCCTCCCATATTCCAAGCCACATCAATGCGCTCGCGCTTGTTTGTCTTTGTAAAACGCGCCGCAAAGCCGACGATATTTTTTTAATTCAGGCGCTCGCTCTCTCTCTCTCTCTGCGGGGAGCAATAAAGCTTCCAAAACACATCGAGCGCCTCAAAATCCCTGCGAACTTCCTGCACGGGCAGGTATCAGAGCCCTCTTTAGGGCATTTCTCAGTCGGCAGATGCCAAAACGTCGCGCGATAAACAGCCGTTGCTCAAACGTATCACTCACTTGAAAGCTTAAAAACGTGGCCGTCGAGCATTCCCGGAATGCGAGTCCTAATCTGCGGCATTTAATTCTTCGCGAAAATATTATTGCCTCTAAATACCAAGGATGCAGAAAAAACACAGAGCGCATGCAGGTGGCTGCGATGGTTAGACAGCTGTGTGTGTGTAATGCGCATTCCACTCAGCGTAGCGATAGAGAGGGAGAGAGAGAGAGAGAGACATGCGGTGCAGGTTTGAGGAAAAAAAATCCTTTATTTATGTGGGAATACATGGAAATAAATGCGAGGTTGTTGATCCATATAAATACAAGGCGTGCGCACTTGAAGACAGCACAGACACATGCGTCTATATAAATAAGCTACGGGTGTCTACAGTGAGGAAAAAAAGTATTTGATCCCCTGCTGATTTTGTACGTTTGCCCACTGACGAAGAAATGATCAGTCTATAATTTTAATGGTAGGTTTATTTGAACAGTGAGAGACAGAATAACAACAAAATCCAGAAAAACGCATGTCAAAAATGTTATAAATTGATTTGAATTTTAATGAGGGAAATAAGTATTTGACCCCCTCTCAATCAGAAATATTTCTGGCTCCCAGGTGTCTTTTATACAGGTAACGAGCTGAGATTAGGAGCACACTCTTAAAGGGAGTGCTCCTAATCTCAGCTTGTTACTTGTATAAAAGACACCTGTCCACAGAAGCAATCAATCAATCAGATTCCAAACTCTCCACCATGGCCAAAACCAAAGAGCTCTCCAAGGATGTCAGGAACAAGATTGTAGACCTACACAAGGCTGGAATGGGCTACAAGTCCATTGCCAAGCAGCTTGGTGAGAAGGTGACAACAGTAGGTGCGATTATTCGCAAATGGAAGAATCACAAAAGAGCTGCCAATCTCCCTCGGCCTGGGGCTCCATGCAAGATCTCACCTTGTGGAGTTGCAATGATCATGAGAACGGTGAGGAATCAGCCCAGAACTACACGGGAGGATCTTGTCAATGATCTCAAGGCAGCTGGGACCTTAGTCACCAAGAAAACAATTGGTAACACACTACGCCGTGAAGGACTGAAATCTTGCAACGCCCTCAAGGTCCCCCTGCTCAAGAAAGCACGTATAAATGCCCGTCTGATCTTTGTCAATGAACATCTGAATGATTCAGAGGACAACCGGGTGAAAGTGTTGTGGTCAGATGAGACCAAAATGGAGCTCTTTGGCATCAACTCAACTCGCCGTGTTTGGAGGAGGAGGAATGCTGCCTATGACCCCAAGAACACCATCCCCACCGTCAAACATGGAGGTGGAAACATTATGCTTTGGGGGTGTTTTTCTGCTAAGGGGACAGGACAACTTCACCGCATCAAAGAGACAATGGACGGGGCCATGTACCGTCAAATCTTGGGTGAGAACCTCATTCCCTCATCCAGGGCATTGAAAATGGGTCGTGGATGGGTATTCCAGCATGACAATGACCCAAAACACACGGCCAAGGCAACAAAGGAGTGGCTCAAGAAGAAGCACATTAAGGTCCTGGAGTGGCCTAGCTAGTCTCCAGACCTTAATCCCATAGAAAATCTGTGGAGGGAGCTGAAGGTTCGAGTTGCCAAACGTCAGCCTCGAAACCTTAATGACTTGGAGAAGATCTACAAAGAGGAGTGGGACAAAATCCCTCCTGAGATATGTGCAAACCTGGTGGCCAACTACAAGAAACGTCTGACCTCTGTGATTGCTAACAAGGGTTTTGCCAACAAGTACTAAGTCATGTTTTGCAGAGGGGTCAAATACTTATTTCCCTCATTAAAATGCAAATCAATTTAAAACATTTTTGACATGCGTTTTTCTGGATTTCGTTGTTGTTATTCTGTCTCTCACTGTTCAAACAAACCTACCATTAAAATTATAGTCTGATCATGTCTTTGTCAGTGGGCGAACGTACAAAATCAGCAGGGGATCAAATACCAAAGTAGCCATTCGAATCCTTTTTCAACGTTGCAAAACGTGCGTCGGATCGGAGCACGCGTGCCTAAGAGTGGACGACGGTTCACGTGATCAGTGCAGCCACCGGAGGCATTAAAGTTCAAGTGAGAATAATTTATTGAATCGGACCGTGACTTTGGTGGGTGTGAATCGATACACCCGCGCAAATGTGCGCGCGTAGGCTCAGATTTAATATTCACGAGTCGGCTGCAACTCAGAAGGGATTTATTCTCCACGAGCCCAGACCAGATGTTTCACTTGCCGATGCCATCTGAGGTGGCATAACTTTAGCCGTTCCAATGTCTGTGTGGCCACTAATAGTGAATTCGGTGATAACCACTTGAAACGGGTGAGCTGTCAAAGCAGTCTCTTATTCGCCGTTCAATAACTCAGCATGACTCACGTTTTGATACCTTAGCTTGCTAGCAATGCGTTTTTGGTCCATTACATTGGCGAATGCCACATTATTCGTAATAGGACGCATCAGTGCATATTTTGGCTATTTTTTTTATCAAAATGGACATTTGCCAACAGGCCAATCCAGGCCCACTGTGTAAGGTATGCGTGGATGCATTGATGCAATGATGTTGATACATTTATGCATGTATATCTGAATGCATTCTCGTGAACCATTGACGTATGTGTGAATGCACGTATTTATTTGTTGGCAGAAAGCCCTCCACAAGAGGGGGCCATGGAGGGTCCTTCTAGAGAGCGCTTGGCCTACTCTTCCATGCTGGGCAGACGTCTCCGTCGAGGTGGGGGTACCCACACTTTTCCACACCACACACGTCCTGCCGATCAACTGAATTCTAACTAGATTAACGTGGCTTGCAAATATGCAGACCTACATTGTACACTGCTAATTAATATTCTCACTTAAACAGAAATTGTATGGCTTTCTTTAAATGCTTTACAGCATCCAATATATACGCAAACGCAAGAATAGTCTACAAAGCAAATTATATGAAAGTAACGCCTGAAATATAAATGTGTGCAGTGTGCTATAGATGGGCTTGCGGTCATAATATCTGGCTAATTTCTCCGATTAAAAAAATCTTACAATGTAATGAAAACGTTCAGTAAGTAAACGGATGAGCGGATGGAATGGAGCAAGAGGTCCTTCGTGCGCACCTATCCTGGCGCAATGACCATGATCACATCATCACCACTTCCTGAAGAACAATGGCTGTCATGCCTGTGTGTGCGTCTTTGTCTCAGCAGTGTAATAAATGAAATGCACAAGAATACTTTCAATGAGCGTCCACGAAACAGGCGAATATAGCGCATCAACAGGGCGTTCATAATTGTATCAGGTCACATTTCACGCGAACGATCTTGACCCTTCAATAGAGACAGACAGATAAATCAGATGGACAGAGAGAGACACAACAGAAAGACAGACGGGCAGAGCTAATGTGTTAACGTTCAGTTGGAAAGTAACAAAAAGTTAAATAAAATAGCCTTCCCCCGTGCAACTATTTTATCCAGGGCGTCTTGACAACGTTTGAACCTCAGCGGCCACTCACCTGGTTAAAGAACATTGACCTGCACAATCGTACATTCCTTTAAGTTTGTCACTTACATTATTCAGCGACTGATAGGTCACAAGACACATGGCACATATCAAGACGTCGACTGTGGCAGTTTCAAACACAAAATGAGTACCGTTGGTGCAATTTTACATTGCTCTAAAGATGATGATAGCGGCGGCGGCGGTGGCGGTGATTATTTAATGATTGGTGGTGGTGGTTTGAGGTGGCCAGATGGGTCAGAGGTCAAGAGCACTGAGCCGGCACTGCTGAGATCGTGGGTTTAAAAAATCCCGACACAGCCACCCAGGTGCTTAAAACTCGAGCGCGAGCGGATTGATGGTCTCAACCAAGCCGACAAGTTACCGCGTGCGGAAGTGAACCCATGACATTCAATTCGGGCGCTTCACTTAATTGTGGATACAATCAAAGCTCCCGAGGCTCATCAATTTAACCGGCACGTGATGGAACATTGTCCGTCACATGACGTCATCGTGGCGTTTCACGTTGTGGTGTAACGCTTGTTTGACGTGGACTGCCACCCCCCCCCCCCCCAGGTCTGTGGTAGGGGGCTACAGATGGGGGGGGGGGGCGCAATGAAATGTTTTGCCCATCGAAGACGGTGGTCACCGCATCTCATGCGCTTTCAGATGCGCTTCCGCGGCCGTCTGGAACGCTCTTGCTTCCGATATTAGGAAGCCGCTGGATAGCTGTGCACTTTTAACGAATCTCCGTTGAAAAACGAATTTCTTCAGAACTGCTCTTTGGGTGTTTAGTTTGTTGTTGTCCTTCCCCCGCACCTCCGATGAGCAGGGCCGGCTACGTCCGGTGCAAAAGAAGTTCAACACACACGCGCGACACACACGCGCGCACAACACACACACACGCACAACACACACACGCGCACGCACAACACACACACGCGCACACACGAACGACACGCACGGACGCGCGCGTGCGCGTGCGCGCGCACGGATCGACGCGGCCATCGTCCCCTCCCCTACACGGTCTTCCACTCCTCCTCCCCGCCGCCGTCCGCGACGGGCGGACGGCGGAACGGATCGTCGGTGACCACGACGAAAACCCTCGCCAGGAGGCTCAGTGCGGGCCGGTCGCGCCGCAGCAGCCGGACCTGCACGTCGAGGAGGAAATCGGCGACTCCGCCAAGAGGCCGCCGGAGGAACAGCGCCCCCCGATGGCCCGCGAGTGCCCGCACCCCGAAGTGGGCTCCCGGATCGCTGTGCGGCGACACCGAGAGGAGCACGCTGTCGCCGGGCAGCGTGCTCGACGGGCCCACGTGGAGCACCGCAGCCGGAGGACGCACGCTGGCCGGGAAGGTCACGCGGTGGTAGGTGATGGTCGCTGGGCTGGTGGCGCAGTCCTGCTGGTGGTGGTGCTGGTGGTGAGGGTGGTGAGGGTGGTGGTGGTGGTGGTGGTGATGGTGGTGGTGCTCAATCAGCTCCTTCTGCTTCAGCTCATGAAGGAGGCGGTCGTGATCGCTGTCGTCCACGCACGATATTCGCTCACATCGCCTGCGACGACATTTGCGAAAACGTTTGGAGACATGCGCACGGTCCAAAGTGTCAAGGACATTCAGCAGAATACTCACAACTGGGTGGGGGACTTTTTGTGATTTAGCTTTATTAGGGATGTCATTTGTGGATTAGGATTGTCATTTGTCTGGATGAATTAAAAAAAATGTCCCTAGTTGTGACATTTCTGGTGGATTTATTTGAAACTTTGGATTGTGTGTATGTACGTTAAACTTATAGAAATAGGTTTTACCTTTTTAACTGGCACAGAAACTGACACCTTTATTCAAGGCATCATGTTTGCAATAACCACAACACAAGCAGTCAAAATACAAACAAAAGAGACAACTCTGATAATAATAATATGCACTGTCCTTGAATTTGATTGGTCCACACCCGAGACGGCTTTTCTTAGAGCCCAGTCTCCACTGGTGTTGGACCAGAAGACGCCAAAAGGCGTACAACTCAAAAACAGTGCACTATCAGAGTATTGAGGGCTCGGGGTGAGCATTTACATTATGAGACCTCCTTTGCCAGTACGCCTTTTGGCGTCTTCTGGTCCAAAACCAGTGGAGACTAGACTCTAAGAAAAGCCGTTTCAGGTGTGGACCAATCAAATTCAAGGACAGTCCATATTATTATCAGAGTTGTCTCTTTTGTTTGCATATTGACTGCTTGTGTTGTGGTTATTGCAAACATGATGCCTTGAATAAAGGTGTCAGTTTTTGTGCCAGTTAAAAGGGTAAAACCTATTTCTATATCTTGTTACTGGCAAAGGAGGTCTCATAATACGTTAAACTTATTTCGCACCATACGTAGCCAACCGTGCCAATCGGAGGGGCAGGGGGAAGGACAACAAACACTAAACACAGCAACAAAGCTGCTATGGAGTCACGCGAAATCAACGTCACGTTCCGTCACTTCGGTGCCGCCTTGTGCACCGTCGGTGCTGACCTGTCCGTCGGATGGTGACCTCACCTTTGCGAACGCGAAGACACGACGCATTCGTACGCGGAGGTGAATCATCCGTAAATCCAAAGGGAGATCCAAAATTGCCCCTTAAACAAAAAATCCTGAGATCCTCAGTCCTATTGTTTTGGGGTTTTTTTCATTTGAAACTCATCGCCAGGAATGCACGCGCACACACTCTCAGATGAGGCAAACCTCGATGTGAGCCGCAGAACAAGGTCACATGTCAACCTGCAATTATGCCCACAGCTCACAGCTGAACAACTGATATTTTGGATTATGAAAAAGCGCGCTGAACACTAAAATAGTGCATTGTGCGCGCCCATTCCGTGGTCACATCATTGCCACTTCCCGAAGAACGGTGGCTGCCATGCATGGGTGTGGGTCTTTGTCTCAGCAGCGGTCTTGCAGTGATTCGCCCATCTGCAATGCGGATCCCATGCGATGGATATTTGATTCCTGGCCATGCGTAGTACCTGTGCGCGTGCGTGCACGTCTTTGTGCGTGAACAGCTCGGGAGCGGGAGGTGTAGCGGCGAACCTGCCAACCAGAGTTAAATTTCCGCTCGGGGGCGAACACCAGTGACGGTTATCTGAAGTGGTCCTGGGCCTCCCCCAGGTCGACTCAGCCTCAAGTGAGCACCTGGTGCGAGGTATAAACATTGCGACGAGGGAGACAAAGGCGGCCGGGCGCGGTGCAGGCCTCCTACCCCCTTCGTGTGCCGTGCCGGCCCTTCACAGGTGCTGCTCGCTAATCGCACTTGCCCCCAGAGTCTGTTAGAGTCCACGAGGGGGGGGGGGTGGGGGGTGGGGGGCATCTTGCTCTTTGCCTTCGTGCCTGCTGGGGGGCAGCTTCGTAGCGGTCAGCGCACCCCCTTTCATGAAAGCGGTGACTTCAATCCCCCCGGCTCTCACGGCCGACATCAGTGGCGAGTGCACGAAACCTGGCCCTCGGTCTCCCCCACGTGTCGACTCGGGCTCGCAACGAGTGCCCTGATGTCGTGTCGCGCGGCGCCGGGGCCGTGTGCGTCTACGGCGGCTGAACGCTACTCACGTGACCGACGTCTTCTTATAATTGGGCGGGCAGCTGTAGGCCAGGCAGCGGAATCCACCGGCCACGTTGTAGCAGATATCGGCGGAGGTGCAGTTGTGAGTTCCCGAGGAGCACTCGTCTATGTCTGTAGGGGAGACGGAAACACACCCCGTGCCCCCACCCCCCACCCCGCACGTGCCCGCCAGGGGTGAAACAATCTCGTAAGAATTCATTGTGTCCATTGTAGTGCAGTCAAGTTGATTGATGATCCAGCGCTCACTGATTCACTGCGGTCGCTCGCTCACTCATCGACGGTCGGTTACTCTCCTTATCGGTCTTCCTATCGCTAACGCCGTGGTCACTGTTACCGTGAACTTCACCCGTTGATGCCTCCACCCGTGTTGAGGACTCGGGCGAGCCCACTGGCTGTGTGTCATCTCCTTCACGCCGTGTTCAGCCACCATACTGCAGATCACAACAAAGCACTCACCCACTCGCTCACGCATTCACTCGCTCACTCGCCCAGTCACTCACTCGCCCACTCACTCACCAAGTTACTCACTTACTCACTCACCCACTCACCTACTCACTCACCCACTCACTCACCCAGTGACTTACTCACCCACTCACTCACCTACTCACTCACCCACCCACTCACTCACTCACCTACTCACTCACTCACCCAGTCACCCCACTCACTCACCCAGTCACTCACTCACCCACTCACCCACTCACTCACCCACTCACTCACTCACCCACTCACCCACTCACTCACCCACTCACTCACTCACTTACTCACGCACCCACTCACTCACCCAGTCACTCATTTACCCACTCACTCACCTACTCACTCACTCACCCAATCACCCACTTACTCACTCACTCACCTACTCACTCACTCACCCAGTCACCCACTCACTCACTCAGTCACTCACTCACCCACTCACCCACTCACTCACCCACTCACTCACTCACCCAGTCACCCACTCACCCACTCACCCACTCACTCACCCACTCACTCACTCACCCAGTCACCCACTCACCCACTCACTCACCCACTCACCCACTCACTCACTCGCTTACTCATGCACCCACTCACTCACTCACCCAGTCACTCATTTACCCACTCACTCACCTACTCACTCACTCACCCAATCACCCACTCACTCACTCACGCACCTACTCACTCACTCACCCAGTCACCCACTCACCCACTCACCCACTCACTCACCCACTCACCCACTCACTCACTCACCCACTCACCCACTCACTCACCCACTCACCCACTCACTCACTCACCCAGTCACCCACTCACTCACCCACTCACTCACTCACCCAATCACCCACCCACTCACTCACGCACCACACTGCAAGTCAAAGCACTTCTCTTTCTACGTCTTCCCTCACACTGCTCCACTTTGAAGTTCCCTCTCCATCATCGTCTCACGCCCCAAAATTAATTTTAACCTCGCTCAATAATAAAAAAAAAACATTCCGTTGAGACGTTTTATGGTGCTGCTTGTTGCTGGCCGCTTGATATTTTGTGCCTTTGGGAAATTAGCTCAGCAACGGTGTAAGCATGCAATCTCAGAAAGCACACAGATACATGCACGTGTGTTCCAAACACAACTAAATTAAGATCTGGAGTCAAACCCAGATCTCGGTGCTCCCATCCCTGGACACGCCAAACTGTATCAAGAAAATGAAATGTTAATGGATTGCAGGTGCATGTGCGTGTGGAGCGATGGCATAGCAGTTGGCACACTGGGCTACGGATCCTGCGACCCGAGTTAGATTCCCGCTCACAGCCAACATCAGTGGAGAAAATCTGAACCGTACCTGCCCTTCTTTAGGTTGACTCAGCCTTAAATTAGCACCTGGTGCAGCCCTTAATCGTCAGCACTGGGGAGATAAAGGCCGCCGGGCGTGGTGTTGACCACACGATTCGCTCGTGCGTCGTGCCAGATTTAAGTGGTGCTTGCTAACAACAGCACTCGCAGTCTACCTGGGGGATCTTTCTCTATAGCTTTGTGTGTGTGTGTGTGTCTGTGTGGGCAGCGGTAGTGCAACGGTTAGCGCGCTGTTCACCGAACCAGACGACCCGAGTTCGCACTTCCGCTCACAGCCAACACCAGCAACGAACGTTCGAACCGATCCTGGGCCTCGCGCCTAGGTCGACTCAGCCTGAAATGAGTAACCGGGTGCGGTGTTGTAAACATCGCCACTGGGGAGACAAAGGCGGCCGGGCGCGGTTATGTTTTTTGGTCACCCACCCCCTTTCGCGTGCTGTGGCCGGCCTTCATAGGCGCTGCTACTCGCTACTAACAGCACCTGTCCCCCCGACGGTCTGTTGCAGGCTGCACGTGGTAGGCGCGGGGGAATGAATCTCCGTGCGCGTGGTCTTTGCTGTGTTTTGTGCGCGCGCTCTGTCCCCCACCTCGACACGCGTGGCCATTCGGCGAGACCGTGTAGCCCGGCACAGGGCACCTGCACTCGTAGCTGCCCGGGGTGTTCACGCAGCGGTACGTGCAGATCTCACCTCCGCTGACACCGCCGGAGCATTCATCAATGTCTGGCGAAGAGAGAAAACACAACAAGGGAGGGGAGGGGTGTGGAGCGGGCGAGCGGTAACAGTCGGCCTCGTGCGACGTGGGGCAGCATTTTTAGAATTCAGTGAGGAGGGAGAGAGAGAGAGATAAAAAAAATGTCCCCCGGGGCCCTCTAGCAACAGCAGCAGCAGCAGTCGTCTTCGGTGACTGGGTGGTCTTACGTGATGACTCCCCCCCCCACCACCACCACCACCAACCCCGGAGCCCTGTAAGTGACCCTCATCAAACGCTGTCGCCAACGCCGCTTGTCCCGCTTGACGATGCTTTGCGGGAGCTTCATCGGAGTGAGCGAACCTCCCGGAGGCGGTTGGGGGGGGGAGGGGTCTGAGGGGCACCTTCCCATGTGCGCTTTGTGACGGGCACTGGTAGCGCAACTTTAGTGCCCCGAGCAGGACTCTCCGTGCCGGGCGTGAGGCTAAAGTCTGTTCGAACGCCGCCTTGAAAACCCCACGGTGTCAGCGAGCTCGCGCACATGATAAGGAACCTCGTTGGCCCATCTTTTGTAGTCGGTGAAATAAATGAATGGGAAGGAGGAGGAGAATAAGAGCCGCCCCTGAAAGGAGAGCCTTGCGGAGAATTCTCAACGCTTCTTTCAGATGACTTTGCTGCCGTAAATGTCCGCTCGAAAATCCATTTCGTTGAGATGTCATGTGTGACCAAGACGCATCTGACGAAGAAGCCAATAGCTCAACGGGCTTTACCAGGTGAGATAACAAAAACAAAAGTTTAGTTTTATGAGTACATTTTTTTACATTCTTGGTTCTTTCGGTAAAGTCACGTAGAAGGGGAAACAAAAATAATAATAAAAATATAAAACAATAAAATTCTCACGTTTCGACTGCAACACAAGCAATCATCATCAGGTGTGAAAACCACAGCATCGGAGTGATGATGATTGCTTGTGTTGCAGTCGAAACGTCGTGAGAATTGTATTGTTTTATATTTTTATTATTTTATTGTTTCGCTTCTGCGTCACTTTACCGAAAGAACCAAGAATATGAATCCCTGCAGTCACGAAAGCTTTAAATGATTTTTTTTTTACCTTTCCTATACCTTGCATTCCTATCGTGTTTTTTCGTATTGTTTGTTGTTGTAACGTCCTGAGCTGCCCCTCCGGGACATCGGTGAAAAAAGAGCTTTATAACTCATCGGATTTCTCCAGTATATACACAAAAATCCTGAAAACGAGCAAACGAACGAACAAGGAAGCCCCGGGAAGAAGAGACACGGACAAAAAGAAGCGAGGCAACAGAGTCAGGGCAATTAGGGGAGACCGCAGTGATTCGGGCACGTGAACCGGGGTGAATTTTATTGCTTTATAATTTTATTATTCTATTGTTTCCCTTCTACGTGACCTTACCGAAAGAACCGAGAATATGAATCCCTGCAGTCACGAAAGCTTTAAATCACGACGGTAGCTGTCGGTTGGAAATAATACAGCGGCGGACAAACGAGAGAAGTGGAGGCAGCGCTGCGTCGAGGTGTCTAGGGTGAAGGCGAAAGGTCGTGAGCCCAATGGCCCAGAAGGCCAATGGACGAGAAGAAGATGTAGCCATCTGCGAGTGAGTCGGTCGGTCACAGTGCTTGCTCGCTCTCACCCAAGAGGAACCGGGGAACCTGTGACCAGAACGCCGAGATCTTGACGACACGCGACTTCTGACCGAGGTCAAAAAACACGTGCCACTTCAATTTGTCGACGTAGCGGAGTTGAATATGTTTTTGAACTCTCTTCTCACTTTATGTATATATATTTTTATTTATTTATCCAGAGTTGACAGTTGGTTGTGGAGGCTGCAGAGAATATCGAACAGTGACTGAGGGCAGCCGAGGATGGAGCCTAACGAGCCTTCAGGTTGCTAACGCAATGCCAATTTAATGAGGGTTGCAGATTAGAAAGATACTCGCTGCATCCAAAGCAAGAGCAGATGCCTGCCCGTACGGAATAAATAATACTGGGAGGACGTGACCCCAAAGGAGATGGAGCGATGAAATCAGATTCTGTGCCGATGCTGGGATGGATCGTTATAATCGTCGGATGACGAGAGGTGGCGGCTTCTTGGGGAGGGCTTCTCAATCCAGCAGTGGATCGAGAAAGGTCTTTAAATTAATATCTTATCATCATCATTATTATTATACACGGTAGCGAAGTCTGCAGGAGAAGTAAGAAAATGGTTGCACATGGAAGAAAACCTGCCAATGCGGGCAGTGATGAGAAGGGAAATGCCACTGTTTGGACACGTGTGCATGATGGAAAACGACGAGAAATTAAAAGTGCGTTGTTGTTGTTGTTCGGAATAATGGAATGGAGCGGAAAGAGAGGAAGCCCTAACGACGTAAGAGACGGGTGCCACAAAGATGCGGCCACCACTTGACCGCATTGGCACAAGACGGAAGGAAAGTTGAAACGAAACGGCGAAATGTTTAGTGGGCACCTACGGGCAGATCTGCCCATGGATCGTGATGATGGTGACCACGAAGTATGCAGTACATCCATTCTTTAAATACCATTCCGTCATTCCGCGGTGGGATTTTTCTGATGACGCGCAGCAACTTGTGGGATATCGGCACGTGCCGAAGAGCATTTTGAGTGCGGATGAATCATCGAGGCCCCAGCGTGAACGGAGTGCGGCCGTGAGGCGGAGCAAGGACGGTCAGGCACAACGGGACGTTTCAATGCAGACACAACGACAACACAAACTAACAGTTAGCGAACAAAACCAATCACCAAAAAAACGAACGCATGGAGTGAAGAGTCGATGGATGTTCGTCCAAACGGAACGACCAATCGAATAAAATATTGCCGGGCGGAGAGGAGGATTTGAGGAGAGATCATCGCCGTACAGAGTTCCGCACGTCGTTGCAGAGGTAATACGCCGTGCTGTGCGAGAATTGATACCCGAATGAGCTGGTGTTGCACATTCATATTGCGGAAGGTGGCCTAAGTTTGAGTCGCTGTACATTTAACGTGACGGTCCCACAAAAATAAAAAAATGTTTGACCACCGCTTGTAAAACTGATGAATGCACGCGGATGAAAGGTTTGCGTGCATTGCAAGGAGAGACAGGTACATTGTCGACTTAAAAAAACAGCGTGAGTTGGGTGAGTGGGTAGGTGAGCGAGAGCGTGAGTTGTTGAGCGATTCATTGGGCGAGCGGTTGAGCGAGCGGGTCAGTGAATGAATGAATGCGCAAAGGAGGTGAGTGAGCCAGTAAGTGACCGAGTGAGTGAGGAGCGAGTAAGTGATGCGCACGAGTGAGCGAGCGGGTGAAGTGAATGAATGGGCAAGCAATTGAAGTGAGTGAGTGCGTCACCTAATGAGTCTATCAATCAGTCATCGGCCAGTCGGCCAGTCCGCCCCTGGGCAGATGTGCCAGCGTGCGAGTGAACAAACGGGCGAGAGACTCGGTGAAAAGCAACGCACTCCGCACCCCACCCTAACCACCTCCCCTCCCTCCCAACCCATCATCCCCCCCGCCCCCACACACCGACTCCCTCCTCCCCCATGGTACCTTCGCACGTGGCGCTGTTGTTCCCGGGGCCGCGCCGATATCCCTGCTCGCAGTGGCACCGGTACGAGCCGTAGGTGTTGCTGCAACGCTGCTGGCACACGGACGGGCGCAGGCACTCGTCCACATCTGCGGACGAGGATGGGTCAGGGGAGAGGCGCGCGAACGCACGTGAACTCCCAGGGGCCGGACACAAAATCTCTCCCCCCCCCCCCCCCACGACGATCGGAGCGCACACCGCCAGTCTTCAATTATTTTGTGTTCGATTCGTTCTTCTTGCCTCTCCCCCCTGCCGCACCTCCGATTAGCGTGGTGGGCTACGTACGGTGCTGGCACCTCGGATTAGCGTGGTGGGCTACGTACGGTGCGAAAGACGTTCAACATGCACACGTGCAGCGTTCCGTATTCACGAACTTAGCTGTCCGCGATTTTGGGGCTATCTGCGACTCACGTGGACACCTCTACACGACAGCACCGAAAGAGAGAGAGAGAGCTAGAGAGAGAGAGAGAGAGCGACCAGGTGAGGAATGTATGGACGTTGAACTTCTTTCGCGCCGTACGCAGCCAACTGCGCCAATCGGAGGTGACGCGAGAAAGTGATGAGAGATATTTGTTACGATAGTCGCGTACTTAATAGCTTATTCACCTCGTAATTATTTTAAGCCAACGTCATTTATCCACGAAATGTGCTCTTTCACGAGCATCTCCAGAACGTATCCCTCGTGAACGACGGGGGGAACGCTTCGCATTGTCTCTCTGACGCTCGTCGCTGAACTCCGCTGAACTCCGCTGCTCATGGGAACCCCCCTCGAGCGAGGAATGTTTAATTGTCTCACCTCTCTGTCTCGAGGCGTCAATCTCACGATGAAAGTGGGGGGGGGGGGGGCATGGGCTAAGAGTCTCTCGACACCACCGCAACTACTGCAACCACCGCAACCACCACAACCACCGCAACCACCACAACTACTGCAACCACCACAACTACTGCAACCACTGCAACCACCACAACTACTGCAACCACTGCAATTACCACAACCACCGCCACCACCGCAAACCACCGCGACCACCACAACCACCACAACCACTGCAACCACCGCAACCACCACAGCTACTGCAACCACCACAACCACTGTAACCACCGCAACCACCACAACCACTGTAACCACCACAGCTACTGCAACCACTGCAACCACCACAACTACTGCAACTACTGCAAGCACTGGGCCACGTCCCAGATTCTTCCTCTTTGTATGGATTAATAGCAGCAGATTAAAGATGTAATTGTAGATGTTGTTATTCACTCTGTGTCTATTCAGACACAGAGTGGATCTCGTCCGCTCCTCCTTTAAAGGAGTAAAGGCAGCAGCAGCAGCAGCGGAGTGTTCACGATGCCGGCCGATGGTTTGGAGATTCGTTGGCCGCACACTCGCAGGGCCGACCCGAATGTTTTGATGCGCCATTTGTGCATCACGTGGCCCCTGCGGCCACGTGGCCCGGATCCGATTCGGTTGACGGTCGACCGGTCGGCGGCGTGAGAAGATTGAAACCGGCAGGTTCGACGGGAGGGTCGCAGTCCAGACTCTCGCTTTCATCCCTCGCCCTCTTTGGATTTGTGGCGTAGAGCGAGGCCGCTGTGATCCAGACGTGGTGGCGTGATTTTAGGCGAACAGGCCCCACTAGGTTCACGTCCCGATGTATTAGATTATTTATAATACGGATAATTTATCCACGTCGGGTGAAACGCTGTTTGTTCCCGTGTATGGATATAAAAAACTAAAAATACGCATCGGTTCATCTGTAAGAGAGACTAGATAGCGATGATATAGGTATGAGTAGTAGGATGCTTTTACGCTGTGTCCGAATTGGGTGTAATGTGGCGAGATTTTAGCTACCTCGCCCGGTATACAGGAGGTCGTGGGTTCGATCCCGACCCTGATGCGTGCTGCTGTGTATTTGGAGTTTGCGTGTCTTCCCGTGGTCGCGGGGATTTCTCTCGGAGTCCTCCGGCTTTTCCCTCCGCAGTTAAAATCAACGTCACGCGTTTAGAGTATTTGTCAGCTAAACATTACCAGGCGATAAGCCACTTCCTTCAGCTATCATTTGTGATAGCCAGGTCGCTTCTGTAAAAAAGCTATACAGCTCAAGTGGGCCTTACCTGCTAGAATAAAAAACAGTAGAAGTCGTGGTGATATCGACTCGTAATCCCCACGGGCACTGCCCCCCCCCCCACCAAGTCGCACTGACCGGCGGAAGCAAAAGCACGGTCAACCAACCCCTACAACCAACCCTGTGCACAGACATTGTACGAGAGGGCACTCCTGCCACCCCTTACGTCACGTAACTCGCCTTTATCGCGTGTTTAGTTCGTCGTCCTTCCACCCGCACCTTCCGATTAGCACGGTTGGCCACGTACGGTGCGAAAGGAGTTCAACATACACTACACCAGGGGTCGGGAACCTTTTTGACTAAGAGAGCCATGAAAGCAAAAAATTTGGAAATTTATTTCAGTGAGAGCCATATAATATATTTTAAAAGTGAATTCAACTAAATGTCAGTATAATAAGCCTCTGAATTTATTCTTTTAAATAATGTTGTTATAACACAATTAATGCGACTTCTGGTGCTGCATGGATTTGCTGATGTCTTTGTAGTCGGGTTGGTACTTGGTGAGGTTAAGCTTCATGCAAGCGTTGAGGCTTTCATCCTTTAAACGTGATCGTAGGTTGGACTTGATGTTTTTAAGATGTGAGAATGACTGCTCACATGCATACGTAGATCCAAACATGGTCAATACAGCAATACTCACACGCTGCAGTGTGTGGTATGTGACAGGAAGCGCGTTCCAAGTTTTGAGAATCAGCTGGTCTTCGGGTTGGAGTTTTTTCATTTCTGTCCACATGTGCTTGCTCGCCAACTCCGCTTTCTGTCGTGTGATTCTTTCCAAATCTTCATTCAGTGACTTGAACTTATTCACCCACATGTCTGAGGCCTTCAGGTCAGCCACTTCTGCTTCAAAATTTCTGACGGAGACACCAGGGATGTAATTCAGGTCGGCTGTGTTCAGTGAACACTCGTTTGGATGGGTGATGAACTTAAAAAGACGAGTGTGCTCACGAAATTCTCCAAAGCGTGCTTTGAAGGACTGTAGGAGACTGGATGTGCAGCCAGCTAGCTGGTGGAGATCAAGGTTTTGAATGGGCTCACTTGCTGTGCATGCATCTTTAAATTGGCTCAGTTTTTCAAAATGTAGTAAACGACCTGTTTCAAGATCCGTGATGAAAAGCTCCAGCTTGTTTTCAAAAGCAAATACAGCTTGTTGAAGGGATAACACTGTATTTCCAATGCCTTGCATTTTCACGTTGAGCTGGTTCAGATGTTCAGTCAGATCTACGAGATAGTAAAACTTGAGGAGCCACTCGGTGTCGGCTAGCTCAGGATGCCCGACGCCTTTCATTTCAAGGAAAGTCCGGATTTCGTTCAGGCAAGCCGCAAAACGGCCAAGCACCTTCCCTCTTGACAACCAACGCACATTGCTGTGCAAAAGCAGACCAGGATAGTTATTTACAACTTCATCCAGCAGTGTTTTAAACTGGCGATCATTTAAGGCTCGGGCAACAATAAAGTTGATCACACGAATGACCAGCGACATCACTTCGCCAAACTGCCTGTCACACATCTGAGCACAAAGTGCCTCCTGGTGTATAATGCAATGGAAACTTAGGATGGGTCTATTTTCATGTTCACGGAGAAGCGCCACAAATGCTTTGTTTTTCCCCACCATACACGGAGCACCATCAGTACACACTGAGAGAAGTTTATCCATAGGTAGACTTTTTTCTTGAGCAAACTCCATGAAAGACTTGAATAAATCCTCACCTCTTGTGGACCCTTTTAATGGCAGAACAGCAAGACTTTCTTCGCGCAGTGTGTCACCAACAGCATATCTTGCAATCACGCTGAACTGCGACAAATGGCTCACGTCTGTTGACTCATCCAAAGCCAGAGAAAAGAACGGCGCTGCATTTATGTCCTTCACTTGCGTTTCCTCCACTTTGTTTGCCATCACGATGGTACGATCATGAACAGTTCTTGCCGACAGAGGCATGTCTTGTATCCGTTTGATTATCTTGTCTTTGTTCGGAAGATCATCAAAAAGTTCATTGGCTACATCCAGCATGAACGTTTTAGCATACTCGCCATCTGTGAATGGTTTTCCGTTCCTCACTATTGCTAAAGAACCAGCAAAGCTAGCCGAATTATAGTCACCTTGCCGGGTCGATACGCGGAGTTGCTGCTGGCTAGCTTGCACCCTGCTCAGCTCTTGGCACGCTTTCTTTCTGCTGTCTCCCGCAGGGTATTTTGATGCAAAGGTAGCGTGGCGCGTGTCGAAGTGCCGCTTTACATTCGACCGTTTCAACGATGTAATTTTGTCATTGCAAATTAGACACACCGCAGAACCCGCTCTCTCCACAAAGGCGAATTCTTCGGTCCATTCGTCCTGAAATGTACGATACTCGTCGTCTTTTTTTCTTTTCGCCATCTTCTTCGTCGAAGGGTTAGCTTTGAGCTAATGACCGAGCAGACGCAGTCTCAGACTGATTCAAAAGGGGGCGTTTACCTGTTTTACCCAGCAACGGCAAACGTAGGCCAGTATCATCCAATTAAAATAATGGACAATTGCTCCTGCAGCCCTGAACAGCACATGCGCAGTGAAAAATCGATGGATGGATTAAAACAAGTGAGAATATTTTGTTTTATCTGCGAGCCATATGCAATCATCAAAAGAGCCACATCTGGCTCGCGAGCCATAGGTTCCCGACCCCTGCACTACACTATATACTGCACAATACGATACGCTGCACTACTATACACTACACCACGATGCTAAATTTAAAATGCATTTCTTTAGAACTGACTTTTGTGTTTCGTTTGTTGTCCTTCCCTCGCGCCTGCAATTGGCACGGTTGGCCACGTACGGTGCGAAAGAAGTTCAACATACACACACGTTACAGGAGTGGGACGAAGGGTGAAAGCCCCCAGTGATTTCAACGACGGCCAGGTGAGAGGCGGAGAAAGGGAGGGAAAGAGGAGGAGGAGGGAGGGAGAGAGAGAGAGAGAGTCCAAAGTACGTACGCACGCACCTTCACATGTCCTGCCGTCATAGCTGAGCGCCAGCCCCCGTGCACAGAGGCATCGGAAGGAGCCCTGGGTGTTCTCACACAGCTGCTCACACGGCTTCCCGGAGCCTTGCGAGCACTCGTCCACATCTGTGTGCGTGCGTGTGAACAACAACAGCGGCAGCAGCGGTAGCCAGATCAAGCACCATTCAGATTCAACTTTGTTATCGTTGCTGTTGCCACGCTGGTTTGGGGCCGTCCATAAATGACGTCACGCAATTTTGGACGATTTTTTGACTCCCCCCCCCCGCCACCCTCCCCTCGTCACACGGCGTCACAAAAAGTCAGACCCCCCCCACCCTCAAATATGACGTCACAAAGCTATGCGCCCACCCACCCCCCCAAAAAATAAGACATGCTTCAAATCGCTTTAAACTATTGTCACTGTAGTTGCGTATTTAATGTGGCTCTGTACTCTGATATTGTAGGAGAAAACATTTATTACAAAGATGAATTGTTGTCTATATTTATTTAAAGTTGCGCATTTTGACGCGACGTCACATTTCTCAAACCCCCAACCCCCTCCCCTCGTGACACATCGTCACAAATGTCTGACCACGCCCCCCGCCCCCAGGTGCGTGACGTCATCCCGCCCCTCCCACCCACCCAGGCACGAGCGGCTGGGCGGGTCGAGGCGGTAGCCGGGCCGGCACTCGCAGCGGTAGCTGCCCAGGAGGTTGCGGCACAGCTGGCCCTCGCCACAGCCGTGCACGCCCGTGGTGCACTCGTCGACATCTGCCGTGGCACGTGCGAGCGTCGGCGTCATCGTCACAATCGTCATCACACGCGAGCGTCGTCGTCACAATCGTCGTCACAATCGTCATCACACGCGAGCGTCGTCGTCACAATCGTCGTCACGCGCGAGCGTCGGCGTCACAATTCATCGTCACAATCGGCGTCACGCGCGAGCGTCGTCGTCACAATCATCGTCACAATTGTCATCACGCGCGAGCGTCGGCGTCACAATCGTCGTCACAATGCGAGCATCGTCATCACAATCGTCGTCACAATCGTCGTCACACACGCCGCATCATAACAAGAACAACAACAACAGCGACAACGAAGACGAAAATCCAACCCCAAAGACAAAGATCCCCGCCCCGTGTAGCCTTAACAGACTGACGGGGCAAGTGTCGTTACCGACCACCTATGGAGGCCGGCACGGCACACGAGGCGGTGGGTGACCAGCACCACGCCCGGCCACCTTTGTCTCCCCAGTGACGATGTTTACACACCACACCAGGTACTTATTTGAGGCTGAGTCGACCTAGGAGGAGGCCCAGAACCGGTTCAAATAATTATCACTGGCGGTGTTGGGCGTGAGCGGGAATCGAACTTGGGTGGCCGGGTTCGTGGTGCAGTGCGTTAACCACTACGCCACCGCTCCCCACCCCCTTCGCAAACACGCGTTCATAATGTGTTATTATCATTATTATAATATCTATGAGACCTTAACCACTGCTCCCCATAAACAAAAACGACAGCAAGCAAGCAGCAGCCAGCTGTCGTTCAGCGCTAAGCAGCGGACAATGTCACCACCGCAGCGCTCGTGCCAGGCTAGGTGCACTTTGTGGCCATCGCGTGAAGTGCCCGAAGGCTCGCTCACAGGAGGTCACTGGACCGACGCAGCTGCCATGGGGTTGACTGAGACGACCGACAGACGCACCAGCTGTGGTCCCCCCCCCCTTGCTGTGCCCAATTCAAAGCAGCGCACGCACGAAGGCACGTTCACAAGGAAGCCAGAGCTGCTCAAGGTGCCCGCAAGCGGTGCGCGGCGACAGCTCCTGCCAGCGGACTGGCAGGATGTGGCGCGTGCGGGCAGACGGATCGACGGTGGAACCTGTGCATGCGCCCGTGCTGGGGCTGGCGATGAACCCGCGTGCGCACGGTATGGGCTGGGCGCCGCACTGGAATGAGCCCGCCGTGTTGACGCACGGCAGCTCGGCGGCGCAGGGCGGCCGCTCAGCCGAGCACTCGTCCACATCTGCAGAGAGACCGAGCGCCGTCACCAAGCGCCCCTCGGGCTCCGACATCGTCGACGCGTTGATGCGCGCACCGCGCGAGCGACCGGTGATCGAGCTGTGACGTGTGCGTGCGCGTGCGTGCGTGTGGGGAGCGGTGGTGCAGTGGTTAGCGCTGCTGCGCTACGAACCCGGCGGTACGAGTTCGATTCCCGCTCACGGCCCGGCACCAGTGACGATTATTTGAATCGGTCCTGGGCCTCCCCTAGGTCGACTCAGCCTCAAATGAGTACCCGGTGCGATGTGTAAGTATCACCAGTAGGGAGACAATGGCGGCCGGGCGTGGTTGCTGGCCACCCACCCCCTCGTGTGCCGTGCCGGCCTTAATAGGTGCTCGCTAACAGCACTTGTCCCAACAGTGCGTTAAGGCTATACCGGGGATCTTTGTTGTTTGTTGTACGCACGTTGAACTTCTTCCGCACCGCACGTAGGCCAACGGTGCTCATCGGAGGTGTGGCGGGGGGGAACAACAAACTAAACACGAAAAGCGGTTCTCAAGAAAATTAGTTTTCGATTTAGATTTAAAAGTTCGTAGCTGCAGATGCCTGCGTCGTCGGTTGCATCCGCTCCAAAGCGCACTGTGTATGTATGCACTTTGAACTTCTAGATGTGAAAAGTGCACATCGCCCAGTGGCTTCCTAATATCGGAAGGAAGAGCGTTCCAGACGGCCGCAGAAGCGCCTCT